GACTAGAAAGGTGAAACAAAAGAAAGCCTTTGCCAGTGCAAAGGGAACGACACTAGAAGTTTTAAGCTTCTAAAAGTGAATGTCTATTGTTCTTGACATTATAAAAGGAGATAGAACATAATTGAACTGATAAACTGGTAATTGGTAAACATCTGTCAGCAATCAGTGAAAGTTCATGAAGTGAAGATGTCTGGGATGCTTTTCCTCCATACTGATTTTTGCTATTAAACATTAGCTGAAGTAAGTTTCCATTACCTTCATTTCTATTATCAAGGTTCTAGGGGTCATTTTGGGTCACTTGAAGGTCCCCTTTTCCATAATGTGCCAGAGCCACGGAATCATAATAGATCTCACATAGATTTGTTGGTGAACAAGTTACCAGAGATATTTTGCAGCTAAGTCACCTTACTTGGCCTGTGCTTTGAAAGGTTTTTGATCATCAAAGTTATCATAATATAACCCACATTCATGGCTACCACCACCAATTATGGTGATCTTAAAAAAGGTGATCTGGTAACCGTAGGTTATCCTGTGACAATCTGAAGGAGTCTTGAAATTACTTTCAGTAACAACCTTGAGTCCCATGGTCATCTGTATGGGTTAGGAAGGTTGCTATGAAAGACATTTGTATGACAGACACAAAGCCATATTTAGGAAGAGGACTAGATGATCTTTACAAACTCAATGGGGTGAAACTTTATGTATTATTCATCTTACTGAGCTGTGTTCCCTGCATCTGGGAGGGCTGCCTATAGTGAATAAAAACCTGAACTTGTTAAGCTCTGATAAGTAGTGTCTTTGTTTCCTGGTATTTTTGTTGACTTTACTCATATCAAAGTGAAAAAGTCTGTCTACTTTACAAGCAGGAGCAAAACCGTCATGCAATTATTTTCACTTAGCAATTATTTTGCATTAATTGTAACTTGGCATGCTGGAAAACTGACTTACTAGGGAAGAATTATTATTTTGGAGCACCATAGACACTGTGCAATGTACATAGCACATTTGAAGCAGCAATTTATTAAAAGTTACAATATTTTCCCTAGAGAATGGATTAGCTATTCACCATTAGGACCAGGTCCAATATTTATGAAATGTTCACAAATGATTAGTTATGTTTCATTTACAAATAGACTCCAGTGAGAGACATTTTTATTGCAAGTCCTATTTTAATGAATTGTCTGTCTTTATGAATTCATGTCCAAGACTGAAATAATTTCTTTTTGCTTCCTTTCCCCGATCTTGCACCTGAGCCTGACACTGCTTGTGTTCCCTGTTTCTTCCAACTGAATCATGTGATCACTCCCCCAGTATGAAACCTTGGACATCTCTGTGACTCTCAATTTCCCTCACACCCCATTTTCAATCAGACACCATATTTTAATGGTTCCTTGTTGCCTACAGAATAAGAGCCAACTTTCCTTAATCTGAAATATAGGGATATTCACAGTCTGGGCTGTGAGAATGTTCCAGTTATCTATTCTCTACCGAGTAGACTATCTTGGCTTCCACAATGAGATGTTCTTCTTTATCTCTGTGCCTCTTCCTCTGTATAAGTTTTCTTAGCCTGGCATGCTGTTCTGTCCCCTCTGTCTGCTGACTGCCCGCTCATTCAAAAGCCAGCTCTAGTGTATCTCCTTCTTGTAACTTTCCTAGACTTTTTACTTCCTTCCTCCCAGGCAGAATCAGTGGGTCCCTCATTTATTCTCTTCTAGAAGTGTATGCATATTCTCCCAGTTGTCCTTACTTATCTTGCATCTAACTCATGCATAAGATCGTACGCTTCTTGAAGCTGCATAGTGTTTTATTTATTTTTGCATCTTCTATGCATACCATGTTATTTTAGTACATAATTAACCCCTTAGTGAAGGCTGTTTGACCAACTGAAAATCCTATTAAAAGAAGAAACGAAATAAAGTTATACCTCAGTGGATATTTTATGTGAACAACACATTGTGGTTGATGATAGAGATAAAATGGATATAGGTGAAGAAGAAAGTCTAGCAGCAGTTCACTTACACACCCAAACAGAGTAGATAGTTATATAGACACATCAGTTTAGAGCAGAAAGGTAAATAGGAGATCACCGCTATGCATATCACTTACTTTTATTTCATTAGGCTATCTCTTCACCTTGAAGCTTGGCATTTTCTGTGACAGCTGACTAGAAAAGCAGTTACCACAGTCCTGAGACCATATTAGACACACAATAAATATATTTTGTTTAAATGAATAAACAAATAAGCAGATGAAACTATTCCAGCTTTTCCATTTTAAAGATTAAAAGAAAAAAAAGATGCAAAGATTCAAAGAATAGGAAAGCAGAAACCACTCTTTTTCCAAGCTGCCACCATATTCTATACATTAAACTAGGTGTTTTCACTTCAATTATGCAACTTTATCTTTGAAAGAAAACTAGGCAACTGTTATGTTACATTAAGAATTTGAAGCTTAAAACCTGTGCCCTATAATTGCTCAGATAGGTGGCAATTCTGTTGTTACTATATAGAGTCTGGTGTACAGTCTTTCTCCTCTGCCATCTGCTGATATCATATTCATGGACAGAAATATGATTAATTATTGATTTGGTGATCAGAAGATCTCTGCTTTTCATAATCTGTAATGTTTACATGGTAGCAAGTGAGTAAATATAGGAATGTGTGATTTAGTGGCACGATCACTAGACTTGAAGGGTAAAAATTACAGCTCAGTTTCTAATCTTGTTATCTTCCTTTGAGTAAACCCTTTATTGTCTAGGAAACTTAAGTATCTCATTTATAAAGCAAAGTATATAATACCGATCTTGTGAAGTTCTGTGATGAAGAGATGGATAATGATTGTAAAAACATAGTTTGTCCACAAAACATCAGGGTATTATGATCATTAAACTTATGTAAGAATGAGAAAGTGTATATGAAAAGGGCTTTTTCTTCTGCATGGTCACTTTCTTGTATTCCCTTTGTTACTATCTTGCAATTTCAGTGTACCTCAGTCTTAATTTGTGCAAATAGATAAAAACAGGATAAATAAGCATTTCTCCCACTAATGTGATTTGTATAATATATAGCATATTTAAATTAAATTTCTGACTCTAATTCTTTTGAACTCAATTGAACATAACTTAGTAATAAAGAGATAGCAGTTTTAAAGACATTTTTTTCTTGTCATGATCTTTCATTTTCATAAGAAAATCAAAACAATCCAAGAACAGAGAAAATATGAAAATTAATATTGCACAGACGGTAGCAGCTCTTTGATAAGCAAGAATAGTCATCGCCAGCTCATTTTGTTAATAATTGAAAATATGATTTTTCAAATGTCCTGCATTAGCTGTAGCTCTATGAATATATTTAAAAACAATCTGATAAAAATCTAATTTGCATTTCTCAGTTTTGTAAATCACGTCCTTTACCTCAAACAAGGTACAAAATGTGTCACTTGCCTTTTGTCGACAATTCACCTCTGTTTTTTAATGTCAATAGTGTCCTATGACTGATTATCAAGATTTGTTATGCTGCTTTTCGTTTTTAGCTAAAAATTTTTATTGAAATTGAAACAACCAAAGTAGCATGAGGAATTAAGATGTCCTTTTCAATTCTGTTTGAAAAAACTGTGATGGTCATATAGTAGAGAGTTCTGAGGTATTAGGCATGAATAGGACTTTACAAGTGACCTAGTTCTGACCCTCTTATCTTACAGTTTGAAAAATGAGGCTATAAGTGGCTGAAAAGGAGATATGCTAGTTTCAGAGAACAAAAGACAAGAAAAGAGCTCCAAGTTATCTTTGAGTACTCTTCTTACTATACTAAGTCTGAACATAATAAATTTTAATATATGTAACTTAATTCTCCCTTATCTAAATGATATAGGGAAAAAAGAAAGTATTGGTCAACACATGTTAACTCTTCAGATGTAGATACTAATGGACTGGTGATATGTATCTGAGGAAAACCAAATATATTGGACGATAGGAGACCTCAATTGCCTATAATAATTGGCTGTATCTAATAAAAGAGAATTCAATAGAGACAGATGCAAAGTCAGCACTTACAGTACAAAAACTAATGGCAAAAGTACATAAAGTGGGACATATGGTTTAACAGCAGAACTTGATTTTTGTTCCCCGAAAAGTGGCTGTTTTTAAAGAATAGAAAGTTAAATGAGTCTATTCTTGTCCTCTTCTCCAAATCAACTGAATTTTACTCAACCTAATGAAATTACATACAGAACAACAAAGGTCCTAAATCCAGTCACTCTATCCACCTGAATTTTCAATACAGATATAGATACTGGTAAATTGGGGCACGTAGAGAGGAAAGACCAGAATATTAAGTGACTCAGACCCAAGTACATTAGGAAAGGTTAAATGTTAAATAAATCGGATCTTTATCTCTGGAGAAGAGAGGGACTATATTTGTTGTTTGGTAAAAATGGGTATGGAAGAAACATGTTCTTTGTAATAAAAGAGACTGAGTGAGTGGAAAGAATTTGGAGTATGGCAACAGAAGGCATGTGTTTGAATACCGGTGCCATAATTTACTAGTGGTGTAACCTAGAGAAAAACCACTAGGAAACTGCACCTCAGGCTCTTGCTCTGCAAGATGAGACCAGGAATACCTACATTGCAAGATTGTTGCAAAAATTAAATTAAATTAAACAATGTATGTAAAATACCTACATACATGGCATGTAGCAGATACTCAACCACCACTGATTTTTCCATCCACTTGTCAGGTAGAGTAATCAGAGATTTTTATTAGATTTCATTAGAGAAATATATTGTAGAAGGATTAGATCAGCAGATATGAGAAAGCCAGGCATCTACATTCCCTGCCTATGCTGTGTGATATATTTATTCATTGACCAACAGCATTTCTGTTATACTTTACACTAGTAAGAATTATTACTTTAAATAGTTGATGCCTTGCAGGTTGTACTGCTTTATAAAGCTGCAAGGAAATGTCACTACTACAAATAGTAAAACTTGCTTATTTACTTACCTGTAAAGTGCGGAAAGGGGCCGCTTGTTTCCAGGTTTTGGTCTGTATGGTTTGGGTTCTCCTGCCATGTTGATATCTGAAAGCGTAAAATAAAATATTACTGAGTAAAAAAAATATTAAACCATTTGAGAAAAGTAAATCATGTACGAATACTTTTATTTTGCTATTTGCTATTTGCTTATGTACATGTTGTATGCCATTCATTCATCCAACACATTTATCGAGTGCCTACTTTATGCCGGTGGTATTTGGAATACATCATATGCAAAACACATTAGATTCCTGCATTCATATAGTACAACATACAAAGTACCGAGGGGCAGTAACTCTATCAGAAAAGTGGAAAGACTTTAATGGAGAATATTACAAAAAATTTTATGGTAAACTTACATAAATACAGAAAAATTGGAAGATTCAATATAATAAACATGTGAATTTGTCTCAAGATGATTTATGGAGTCCATGCAACTCTAATAAAATTCCCTGATTTTTAAATGTGTATGCATGAGCTTGACAAGTTGATTGCAGAATTTATAAGATAGAACGAAGGCCAAACATAGTCATGATACACTTGCAAAAAAAGGAACAAAGGCGGTAAGGTTGCCTTATCAATATTTATTTTAAAGCTGTAGTAATTAAGACTATAGTATTGGTACAAAAATAAAAAAGGAACTGACGGAGCAGAATAAAGAACCACCAAACTTACACACACACACACACACACACACACACACACACACACACACACACACGACAAAACTATACCTTCATACAATTGGCATATTAAACACATAGAGCTGGCACAGCAGATCAGTGAGGGAAAGACAGACTTTTAAATAAATGATGCTGGAACAACTGGTTACCCACAAGGGCAAATATGAAATTAGATCTCTAGCTTACACCACATTAAAAAAATCAATTGCTATTGCCTAAATATGACAGGCAAAAAATATAAAGTTTTTAGAAGTCAATAAAATAAAATATCTTTATGAGTTCAGAGTTTGAAAGAGTAATCTTAAACCAGGTATAAAAGTCATTACTCTTAAAATATAAACTGATAAATTCTACTATATTAAAATTAAGAATTTCTGCTCATCAAAAGTCACGTGAATAGTGAAAAAGACCACAAACTGAATGAAGAGATCCTTGACAAAGATTTTCTTCAAGAACATATGAAAAATTCATTCTTAAGCCAGGTGTCATGGCTCATGCCAGTAATCCCAGCACTTTGGGAGGAGGAGGCAAGAGGATTACCTGAGTTCAGGGGTTCAAGACCAGCCTGAGCAACATGACGGAGACCTCGTCTCTTCAATAAATCAAAAATCAGCTGGGCATGGTAGCACATGCCTGTGGTTCCAGCTACTTGGAATGCTGAGGCCAAAGGATAACCTGAGCCCAGCAGGCCGAAGCTGTGGTGGCCGTGAGTGTGCCAATGAACTCCAGGCTGATGACAGAGTTAGACAATGATCCCCCAAAAAATAAATAAATAAAATGTTTTGTTCATTATGCAGGTACCATTAAAAAAAAATTCTCATTTGTAACATAGGAAAAAAGATTCAGATCACCAATAGAAAAGTAAGTAAAATCCGGTAAAGGCACCTTACAGAAGAGGAGACACAACAGGTGGATAAACATGTGAAAAGATGCTCAGTAATAAGGAGTGAGAAAATCAAGTTAAAACACCATGAGATACTAGCAAAACTCATTGAATTTACAGCAATTTACAAAATCTGATAATACCAAGCATACTATCAGAGCTGCTGTGATGTGTGTACATTGCAGGTATAAGTATAAATTGGTAAAACTATTTTGAAAAATAATTTGTCAATTGCTGAAAAAACTTAACATATTCAAATTCTTTATGATTCAGGAATTACACACCTAAAGAAACTTTTGCACATGTGTATTATAGGATAGATACAAGGATGTTCATTGTAGTACACTGGCATTAAAAGAAATTCTTCGAAAAAAAAGCACAAGCACACATTGATAAGCGATAATATAAATAAACTGTGGCATATCTACAAAAATAATATTATATAACAGCAGAAAAATGAAGAGGGAGAGAGAGAATTAGAGTCATAGGCAATAACACTGATACATTGATGAACCTCAGGAATAAAACACAACAAAAATAGTGTATAATGTCATGGAAAAACATTGACAGCATGAATCCTCTCATACTAATTTTGTAAATTAAATTGCAAAATTAAACAATATATTAAATAGGGATAATAATACATGTGAATTAAAATGATAAAAAAGAAAAATGATCAAAGAAAAGGAAGCAGAGATAAACAATGAATTCAGAATACAGGTTACCTCTAAAAAGGTAGGAAAAAAGTGTGTGTCTTGGGAGGAACACCAAGAAAACTTTAAAGTAGCGATCCCCAACATTTTGGTATCAGGGACCAATTTTGTGGAAGATGATTCTTCCACGGATGGGGTCGGTGTTGAAGATATGCAGTCAAACCTCACTGTTAATGTTAATCTGTATTTGCAGTCGTTCCCCCATGCTAGTATCAATGAGTGAGATCCACCTCAGATCAGTGGTAATGCAAGCAATGGGAAGTAGCTGTACACACAGACAGAGGTTCCTTAGCTTGGTTGCTGCTCACTTGCTGTGCAGTCTGGTTCCAACAGGTCAGGGACCAGAGTTGGGGTAGTTACATTACCTGCTTTAATGTAAATCATAAAGTACTATTTCTTAAATGGGGGGTGGGAACATGGGTCTACATTATAGCATTATTTTCTATAACCTAAACATTTTATTAATTTTATTCTGCATGTAATTAATAAGTAATAAAGAATTAGAAAAGAAAATGGGAATAAAAATGGTAAATTGTGTGTTGATAAATATTCAGGTCAGAGACAGTAGGTTTTGGTGGATAAGTGGTTTTAGCAGGCAGTATAAGGAGAAGAGGTGGGCGGTGGATTACTGGATGTGAAAAGATCATTAGAAACTCCAATTAGAACTTCAAATCTGATTTGAGTGGGATATAATATAGAATTCTGAGTAAAGGACAGACCCAAACAATGAGTGATGAAGAAATGACTTTTGCATGACTTGAATAAGGCATAGACAAGAGGCAGCCTGTCTGAAACTTTCAGATGTGACAAAAAAGCAAACGAGACAAATACAGATTTCTATACATTTTAAAGCTTTGTAATGATGGTAGAGGGCATATGTCGACGAAAATATCATAAAACATCATTTGTATATTTCTAGCTCAGTCCTTATGACTTATAAAATAAAAATGTAAAATTATTCTCATAAATAAATAAAAAACTTGAGACTTAAGACTGTAAACAAAAATATTGCAAAATCCATTTTTAAAAATAAAGTAGTATCAGTGGTTCTGGAGACACTCTTAAGAGTTTGATAGCATATTCATATGATGAAAAACCTTCCATGAAACAATGCTAAACTTAGTATTTCCAGACATTTGTCTCCCTTCAAAGGTATTAGAAAATGCAGAAGAAAATCCTTTGCGCCTTCTAAACACTGAATTGTGTTCAAATGCAGAATTTCTCTTTAAGTTTATGGAAATTTATACTTAAATATAGAAGTACAACGATAGTTAAAAATTTTTTTTTTTGACTTTACAATGATGGGCAAATGATACACATTCAGTAGAAACTGTACTTCTCTTGCTCTCCTAGGTGGTGGCATAGTCAGCCACATATTTTCGATTTGCAATATTTTCAATTTACAAAGAGTTCATTGGATATAGTCCCATTGTAAGTTGAAGAGCATCTGAATGCATATTTACTAATATATATTTTTCACTGCTGTGTTGATCATCATCCAAAACTGGTTTCGGCAGACAGAAAGGAGGGTGAAAAAGGCAGGAAGTAGTCCAGGGAGAAGGCGACAGTAGGAAGAGAGCTCAGTTAATTATAGTGAACAAAAAACTTTGCTAGGATTTGAATGAATGTGCATTCCCTTTCTCATCAAATTTTATAAATACAAGATTTCCTTGTGTATTCAGAACAACCCAACTTCCCTGAAAGCCAAAGTTCAGATTCTCATTGACCTTGAAGGGACCATACAAACAGGGTAGACTGTGTCTCAGCTGTAACTTGTCAATGATAGAGCAGTCTCCTGGGGCTTTGTTTCCTGGTTATCCAGGTGCTACATATATTACACACAAGGCAGGGCAAGCAGAATGACTAAGACTCAGTTTTCTACCACTGTTGTAAGATAGGGACTTTGGAGTAAAACACTGAGATCCAGAAAATAAAATTTCTCTTGGGTTTCTGAATCTACAGATTTATACCAAATGCTAAAAATTAGAATGCTTATATTGTCCTCATGAAAGGATGCGGGTTTAATCACTCTCAACAGATGCTTTTGGCATATTCCAAGAAGCTTAAATTTTTAGTCATTGTGCAGAAGTACCTAGAGCCGTACTGGCTGCTGGATTCTGTTACCTGGCTATTACATTTGTGGTGAGAGTTAATAAAACCAGGTGAATACCTCTTTAAATGATTCTGTTGATGAGGCTTATTTCTGAGTGGAAAAGCTCCCCTCATCCTTTCCCAGCCACAGGGATAAACCAGAAGAGAACTAAAGCTTTATGTGTGGCTGGGAGATGTCTACAGACAGCTTGCCCTTCCTGGAAGGGACAAGAGGTGTTTGCATTTTGTCATTGAGTCTCTGTAAGTACCTACTAAGGGGGGTATAGAATAGACTCTTATCAATTCTGAAGTTTCAATATTTCAAGTTAGGAAAACAACTAAAATAAAAATTTTAAAATTTACTCCAAAATTATCCTTCCAATAGTAAACCTCAGATTCAAACAATTTAAAACTATCCTGTTGGGCTACTACTTGTATGTTTTCACAGTAAATTAATTTAAAACTGTGTTAACTGCCCTTGAAAGTTTAGTCAATTTCTTTTTCTTTATTTTAAAACTAAATAAGAAATACCATTATACCATGACAGAAATAACTATAAAGTTACAGAACTGAAAAAGTCAATGAGCTGAACGTATTCTGACTTGAGCAAATGAGATGAGACAAATGGAGACAGGTACTATTCCAAAGTGTCATCCTCAGAAATGATAACCAGTA